TTGGATAAACGAATTTTATAATTGTGTGCAAAGAAATTTTTTATTTTCTTAAAAAATTCCCAAGATATGAAGAAATATGCAAAAAGTAAAATTAACATAAAGTTGTCCAGTTTTAGAATTGGGACAGTTCTTCTGACCAAACAATTGGGATCATATTTCCCAGATTGCGGTTCTGTGTCAATCCGCTGCACACAATTCGTCGTAGCGAATATTCATTAACACAATTAGTCGTGGGGTGATTCGCCGCGAACGCAATTCGTCGCAGCGACAATTCATCTTCAGCACAAATCGTCACAAAGACGATTTGTCGTGAGGCAAGAGACAAGTAAGGCATGGTTTCATGAGTTTCGCGCTGAACTGAATGAAACCTATTCCTATTTGATCAGACTATTAGTTTTGAAGTTATAAGGGCTTTTATACAAAAAGTACAACTTTGTATTAGCATCGATTTACGCATCTGACATTGCTATCTAATCTAAAAAGAGGTATTGTTTCCGATATAGTTTCGTACATTGAATAGAATAAAAATATTCAAGAATCAATATAAAAACATCTTACATATAGAAAGTACTACTATTGACATTAACTAATGTACACTTTTTACACTGCTATCTGAACATGTAAAATATATTTTCGATGTAATTGCTTCTTGCTGAATTGTTTGGAGTGTTCAGCAAAATTTTGGGTGTTCAGCTTAACGTTACATTTTGTTTTGTTGCGCAAAACCTATAAGACTTAGAAATTTGAAATTACGATGAATTGTAGAAAATTGTAGATATAAGATGGAAAAGAAAGATTAATATTCGAGAATTATTAACTGTTAAACTTGACGTAAAAAATACCATAAGGGCTGCTCTGCTGGACTCAGGAATGCAACTACGCAGTTGAAATTTTATGTGCTGAAAAAAAAAAAAACGGTTTTGTCGATAAACATAACATAAGCCTTTTATTATTATTATTATTTAAAATTCAAATTTGTTCGAAAGCTATTGCCATTTTAAGTGTTTAAGCAAATTTTTTCGCCCCCCTTTTTTTTACGTTAATTTTTTTTTTTTTTACTGCCCCCAAAACTATAAAATTTGAAATTACGATGGTTTGTAGAAAAATGAACACGGAGTATGACGGTATAAAAAATATATAACATTCAACAATTAGTTCGAGAATTACTATTAACGATTAAACTTGTAGGGGGGAAAAAGTACCGTGTTTAGACTATCTGTAGTCTGATGAAATGGCGTGTTGAAAGAATCACACTAAACGCGAATTGTGTACCGAAATTTTAACTTCTTCAAAAGTTATGGCAAATTTAAGCATTTTTTCTTATTTTTTTTTGTCAGTGTTTAATGCTTTAAATATTGACTATTTATCCATAGAAAAATAATTTTTTCATCCGGATATCTTTATTTTACAAGATGGAGTTAGATGTCAATCAATAGTAGAAACAAAAAAAATTTTGCGAGATCCTAACATTAATTTGAAATTTTTTTTTAAAAAAAGAAAGAAATTAAGGTTTTTTTTAAAAAAAAGTTAAGATGATTATTCTTCGAATCCAGGTAATCCATTTCATTAAGATTAACAAAATGTTCTCACATAAATTCCGATACAAATTGTATATTTTAAAAACAAAATGGTGTTTTTGTGGAAAATATTGACCATTGAGAAAAAAAATAAACAAAAAAACGATAAAAGAGAAGCAATTGCAGGGATTGGTGAGCGGAGCAAACAGGGGGTCTCAACCTCCTAGTTAGTTTTATAATTTTTTAACAGCTGTAACTTGTGAGGCATTTTGTCTCAAGAGCTGAATGTTGTTCAGTTTCTATAACATTAACACTAAGCATACCAACGCTTAATACATACCTATTTCTACCATAGCCGGTCAAATGACTTGACTTAATGTTTCCTGATTGAATGTATGAAATATGAATGTTAAGAAGGAAATAAACAAATTAACTTTATTGCAGTTAAATAAAATTATACATTGTCAATTTTTATTACGAACACAATTTTTAATTCGTTGCTCATCGTATTTTTTACATATACTCCATTGTAAATATTCGGGCTAACATATTTTTCCCAATTAGAAAAAAAAAAATTATGATTTTAATTTTCTTTACAATATCCTATCTGACACGTTTTAAGTTGATGAGAATCTGTAGTTAATTTAGGCAACGATCGTTTTGTATTTGTTCTTTTTTTTTTGTGTTGTTCACGGGCTTCTCGAAAATCGGCGACTTGTTCTACTGCGAATTAGAGTAAAAAATCTCGTCACGAGATATTTTCTCCTGTCGTTTGCTTGAACAAAATCCCCTCATTTATGCCAAGTAAATCAAGGATATTGAAAAATTCCTGGAAAGGACATTTGCAAGACTTAGATTTTGTGGTGTATTTTCTAGCTATTTGATCGGTCATGTCTACATCAATACCATTTTTATATATATTGTCTTGCTGAAGTATGTGAATACAATGCGTTGAATACGCATGTACTAAACTCAGTGGCGCGACAGCCCATAGAGGGTCAAGGCCTACTGTGCCCATCTCAGTTTTCTTAACCTTGGGCTCTGGGGTGCAGGAGCATATGTTCCGGTTAGGTGGTCAGCCGAACGCGGAACCCCCAGTGTTTAGCTCCCAAGCGTGCTTGGTACTCGTTTATCCACCCACTGAAGGGATGAAAGGCTGAGTCACCCTTGCCCGGTCCGAGGATCGAACCCATGACCTGTGGCATAGGAGCGGGAAGAGCTACCACTCAGCCACCGGGGGTCATATGCATGAACAGTGTGCAAAATAAAAAGCGAACCACCCTGAATAACTTTTGATTTAATGATCGGATCTTCACGTTCTATGATTCAACCTTAATGGTTTGAGGGGGTGACTTGCCATAACCGTTATTTTGACCGCTTTAGCTATGTTTAGTGTTAAAATCTAATTCGTTGAAATAAAGAAAAATAGTTAATTTGAAGTAGAATTACACTTTGGGAAAAAATTTTATTAATTATACACATTTTAGATCAATATCAAATTTTATTAAATATTTTTCCCATTTTAAATTCTTCCGTAAATTTCAAAAGGAACTTCCTTTTTGTACTTACAGCACAGTTTTCAAAAAAAATTTAAATCACTCAATTTTACATGTTTTCCGATTTCTCACTATACTTTTTGGTCTGTTTTTTTTAAAAAGATTTTGTTGAAAATCCACGTGGTTTTTAAAATATCGATTTTTAATACGATATTATTTCTACGCGTAAATCTTGAATCACGTATGATAACCTCTTGACGCGCCCAAGTCGAGATATTTCTATCGAACGTCCACTTGATTTTTCTAAGGTTATTTTTTTCTCCAGACAGTTAATTGCTACGAATTTTTACAGGCTTCTTAAAATTTTGATATTTTTTATACTACATCATTACAACACATGAATCTGGAATAGGGCCATTGAGAAATCACTTTTGATGAGCTAATTAATTTGTGACGATTCTTAGTAAATCCACGTAAATCTATGAATTCTCTGGCACTTGTAGCGATATGCAAAATCAGAAATGAATAAGGAATTTGTAAATTTTTCATAACGCAAGAATTATATATAGGGGAGAATCGGGTATCCCCGTTCACTTAAGGAGTATTGCTTATATTTCTGTATAATACTAAATAATAATCAACATTTTTGTATGTTTCTATTGTTTTATCATCTAATTAAATAATGCAAAAAGAATAAACCAAAAAAAGAATAGTTAAACTTAAAAAAATAGAAATTTAAAAAAACATGTTTTTCAGCTCTTTTCAAAATGTGTCGGGTAGCCCCGCCCAGCTACAAAAATTGTGATTTTTGGCTATTTTTTCAGGTGTAAATGAGAATGACCAATGTATTGACAATAGATAAACCTCATTTCTCATTTTTATCACAAAATTATTTTATTTATTACATATTTATATACTTTTAGTGAATTCTATCATTTAATAACAACAAATGTCATACTTTTTATCATTATTAATGTATATTAATATATTATAATATTAATATATATTTATATTAAATATTTAACGAAAATAATTTAATTTAAGTAACAATAATTAATAACAATAGTTGTTTTTCAATATAAACTTATTTGGTTGATCTCTTCTTATAAACTTAATATAAAATACTTCTTATAAAATTACAAATTCACTTTGTATTTTGATTGCATTCAAATGCTTCTGTAGATTGATTCGTTCACAAATAAGTGAAAATAAATAAGTAAGCAAATAGCTTATCATAATATTTATGATTTCTTGATATTAAATTTAATTTGGATATATCAATTACATTTTAAAAATATTTAATTTTTCATTTTTAAATATATAAATTTATGTTTCATATAATATTAAAACATATATTTGTTGTTAAAAATGCATATAACATTCAAATTTGAAGCAATAAAATAATAATCTTTGCAACCGTACATTTATCGACGAAATAAAATTGGGCGGTGATACCCGACATTCATGTGAGCGGGGCTACCCGAAATCCAATTTTTTTGTAAATTTGTAATTACTCGAACAATTTTTCACATATAAACTTCTTTCTTTGTGCAAATTAAACTTAAGACTACATACTTTAATGCTGTATGTATAGAAAAAATTATTTTTTTAGTATTAAAATGAAGTTTAATCGAAACATTCAACCAATTTTTCTTAATTTCATGACTACTGTATTCAACATATTTTCAAAACTTTTGTTTACCACGTTACCAGCTGCATAAATACTTGAAACTTTGAAAATAATCTTTTTTTAATATAACAGTTAATGTCTGATGAACCATTGACTTGAAAAAATATTCTATACATATGAAATTGACAGTGGGCGGGGCTACCCGACTCTCCCCTACATATTTTTTTTTTGTTGAAAATATTTGCACCAATGATGGCCGATGTGAAAATCGTCTTTAAGATATACAACTATACAAAGATGGATTACAGACAGCACCTATAAAAGAGGTTAAGCTAAGATAATATAAAACCAAAGACATTTCTTTTAAAAATTATTTTATTAAAAATCAAAAACAATCAGGTTTTATGAGTTGACATTAAACAAATCTAATATAGAAACATTTCAATTGCATGAGAATGTATTTAACTAATTAACAGTCCAAACCAATGAATATGACTTAAGTATCCATCATCATCTAACAAAGACAGTTTCAATAGTCACACGAAAATTAAACAATATATGTCCATAAAATCAGCTGCCTATAGTTAAAAAATCAAATGAGAAGTACATATTATATATGTACTTTCAGTATTGACTCTATTAAGAACTGGAAATTTTTAGGAGAAAATTAATTGGTACTGATATAAAAGATGAAATACTTTTAAAAACTTAATTTTCTTGCATTCTAATTGGTCAAGTAACATGACAAGATAATTAATACAAAACAAAGAAGTTATGTTTAACTGAATTAAATTAATAAAGCATTAATGAAAAAAATAATCTGCTACAAGATTCACCACTAAATCATTTAGTGTTTCTGATATTATCTTACTTTTTACAATCACCTTCTACAGACGGGACCATTATAGGGTTAAAATGTTTAATTATTTACTCATTCTATTTCTTAATTGCTGTCTGCATTTAACAAGTTATATTCTAGATTTTATTTAAAACTTATTTCATAATAATAAGCTATAGAAATAACTACAATAAAACTGATATGCATTGTCATTATATTATTGTCTTATACTTTACAAAGCTAATTAAAATTTATAAATGATAAATATTAAAGAGTTAAATTCTGATATTTGAAGTAACATGTTTTTTAAAAGTCAATTTATCAATAGAAGATGTTTTGCAGTTTGAAAATATCACATTTTTAATCTTATTAAAAAACATATATACAGTGAGTCCCAGATTAAGTGAATTAGGTTAACTTTCAATGTACAATTTTTTCCCCCTAACTATTTGCCAATTTAATTACATGGCCTGTTCAAGTTTTGAAAATGTCTTCATATACAGTTTTTAATAAACTTTCTGCACATACCTTTTTCATGCAAAATGACATGCAAATATTTTAGAATATTAGTAATTTTTGAATTATTTTTTCAATGGTTATTTATTTCCAGTTTTATTATCATTTACAATTGATTTCGTAAACAAAAAGATTTCCAAAAAAAAAGTTAGTATTTGGAAAATTTCATCTAAAATTTCATTTTTTATAATGATTATTAAGATGGAAAATATTTTTCAAATAAACAGTTTAGTTTTCTAATTGAAACTCTGCAAAAATTATTCTGAAATTATGACAAGAGACACATGTCTTTTATTTCAATAAGCAAAATTTATCCGAGTTGAAATTTTAAAAAAATGAACATGTCTTTAATTTTTGTAATTAACAAATTTACAATTATGCAAATTTCTGCAGATTCTTTTAATAGCAAACATATGTTTCTGCATCAAGTTTTTCATTTAAAAAAAATTATATATTGTAAGCATCATCCTAGAACCAGAAATTATAAAATTTAGCAACTTTCACTAAAGGCAATTTTTTTTATTCATTTTTTGGTCAACCATAGACATAAATGCGAATGCCAAACTTTAGTAGCCCAAAATAGTATATTTCATTTTGTATAAAAGTAGGCAGATAAGGATAGTACACAGAATAAAAAACTTTTAAACACATTTATTTCATCAGTAACTTTTTAAACATTCATGGCTTTGGTGGGGTGCTCTCGAAATATAGTAAACAAAACAAAAAACCAAAACTAACAAAATAAGTACTGCAAGTATTGCTTGCCAATAATTTTTTTTATTAGTCTACAGCAGTGATCACAAAACCCTCGAGCTACTAGCAGCTTGTGCAAATATTTTTAATACCTTTATTGAGCTGAACTTGAACAAAACAAGAATTTCATACTTCTTATTAAAATTAATAATTCTGATTTTTAAAAAAAAACTGTAATTACATTTGTTATTAGTTACAAAAAACTTCAAATTCTTTCTTATGTAGAATTCAATTTCAGTTGCATTTTGTTATATATATACATAATTAAAATTGATTTTCATATTTACTTGAAATTTCAGTTCAAAGGCAATAAACCAGATGTAAGATTTTTTTGAAAAAGTTGGTAGTTCTTTCGGTTGATATTTCACAATAGGATTAAAAAATGGCACAATATCTCGGGAGCTTCTGAAGTTTGGTAACAAGTGAGATCTCACAATTAAAGCTAACAGCTTCAACAAAAATAAAGTAACTAATATGTCATCTATCGATCTATCTAAAAGTACTTTTATATATTAAAATACATTTAACAAATGATACTACTAGCTATGAAGGGTTTTATGAAACTGCAGATTTACAAATTCATTTGCTTTCATTTGTCTATTTACATCACAATACATACTTTTAAAAATCAATGTTAAACATAACAAGTATCACACAGTTATTAAGTTGTTTTTTAAGAAGATACTTTCAGAGTGTCCAGTGGAAAAGTCTGATTTCAAATTAAAAATTTTGAAAATAAAGAAACACGCACTATGTTTATTGCGAAAGCTCTAAAAATGATAAATTTAAATTGGTAAATTAGAAAAAGTTGCCAATAAATGGTGCCGCCAGTAGTAAATACATGACAAAGCCCCTAAAAAAAATTGCATTTCAATAACTTAAATGTTAAAGGAGGTCGATGCACTACTGAATTAGAAAGTTTAAACAATGTATTGCAATCCCAAGAAAAGTTTTTGTATCATTTTTAAGATCTCTGCACGACCTACAGTAGCTAAATTATAAATTTGTTTATAAAAATACTATTTGTTTCATTTTTGTCTTTCTTGGTTTTCAAGATTTTAATTTTGAAACCAAGCTGGCATTTTGTGGACACTTTGTACAAACGAAGAACATAATTTGCTGGTACCACTTTGTTAATCATTTAATGCAATGAGAAAACGAGAAAAAAAAAACTAAGATATTATTAAATTAATAACAAATAAATTATATATGGCAATATCGAGGAACTAAATTTAAATATTTTATGACTTTTTGGCAGGTTCAGTCATAATGGGACATATTGCACAACACATTTATTATTGGTAAAAACATGTGTAAAAAATGTTGTTCATAAAAAATAAATTCAAATGCTGACATTTAAAGTCCAATATTAAGCTCATTATAATTTTGTGAAATGCTATAAAAGCTTGCCTTGTTCAAATGGGAGACAAAGAGCGTTTCTGATATGCTGTCAGTTCAGGATGCCAAAAATCAACAATCAAAACTAACCGAGATGAGCTGCCGTTGTGCCAAACTTCATGTTCGAAAGAGTCATCAAATAATATAATTTTACCTTCTTCCCAATGCCTAGAAATAAAAAACAAACTTAAATATTAGAAATTATTACTTTAGGGGAAGGGATATAAATGTATAATCCCAAGAAACTGAAGGAGAACATTTAATGATACAAAATTTCATTTGCTTCACAAAATAAGATGGTAATTAAAGTAGACATGTTTCCACCCCCCAAAAACAAGTGCCCATTCTCAAGACTCTCTCAACAAAGATGTGAATAAGGAAACAGAAAACGGAAAGTTGCCAATGAAAAGTGGAACTTTAAGGGATAATCAATAATGAAGTTTAAAATTCAAAGTACACAACACAATTTCACAGATGTTTGTGTTAATTTAATGCAATTTTTAGCTCCAAAATGCTCTTAGCAAAGCTAACATTTAAGCATTGTTTACTGTTTAATTAGAGATATTCCATGTCGATAAAATAGTTCACATTAATATTGTTTAAAATCTTGTTAAAAGAAGAGGCAACAAACAAATAATGAATCTATTGATAACAATAGTAGCAATTATGAAGAATTTAATTTTCAAAACAGGAAAATTCTTTAAAATAATTATTTATGAGAAACTTCTGGCTTGGCCCACTTATCCGCATGCCTACTCATTACCAGTTTTTATTGCAACCATTCTATGTCATTCTGCTTCTTTTTTTTCAGTCCACGTTTCTATTATTTTATTGGCTGATACAGTAAAAATAATTTATACAGTTTAAAATACTACAAAAAAATTTCTTCAGAATTTGATGCCTTACACATCACTAAATAAATCATCTTAATAATTATTTTTATAAATTTGGTTTATGCATTATATATATTGGCACAGTATTTAAGTGAGTACCCATTATTGAATAAAAAAAAATTTATCCTTGTTTGTGATTTTAAACCTTATTATAGTCTCTTTTTTTTTTTGCCCAATCGTCTTATTATTCATTATTATTATCATTTCTATTTCAGTAGTAAGAACTAATAAACCATATTGCTATGTTAGATTGTTTTTAAATAGATTGTAATGCTGTGAATAGTAATTTTAGCTAAAGTTCTCAAGTTACTTATAAATTTACTGAAAACCTATGAAAAATATTGCTCTTAGTAAAACAAATTAAATGTAATATGTTTCAATAAGATAAAAATAGATTAATACTTGACTATTATTTCATAAAAGTTTTAGATTCTATTCGAGTACAAACTGCATAAATTATTTTTCATTTTAAAAACTCGCCAAAGAAAAAGCGTTTTTGGTAACCATCGAAAAATGGTGTATACAAGTTGCCATAGCTTTTATAATGCTTAAAGGTTATCTTTGGCACGGGTATAGTTTATTTATTTAAAACCAAAACAGTTTCTTCCTGTTTTAATTTATTGAAAAAAATCATGATAATGATAAATAAAATGATGTTAATTGCAAGTAAAGGAAAAATAATGAACAAATGATTCTTTAAATAGTACATTCTTAAACAATAATTTATGGTTTAAATAAAACAATATATACTAATAGAAATTTTTAGTTTCAGGAATAATTCATAATTTGAGTGAAATTTAATGTACTTATATCTATTAAAAATGTTAATGTAGGTTCTTCTTATGGGATTCCATTAAAATATACGTAGACATGAGGAAAAGAGAGGACTTTGATTTGTTATTTTTAGCTGATGAGAGGAAGCAATTCTTATGCAAGATGTTAAAATATTCATTTTCAGAGAAAAATCCCTTATTTATCTCAAAAATAATTAAAATTGGTGAGGGGGGTATCTATTGTGAAAAAAAATTGCTTAATCATGGATAGAGTAGTGTTTGTGATTTGCTTACTTTTGTAAACATAAGATAGTACTCGAGTAATATTTAATGTATTGCCCATATATTGCATAAAGGAATTACTGATTAATATAAAGGAACAACTGCTTTGGGATATAATTTACTTATTTCTATTGAGTTGTTGTAAAACTAATGTTATACTATTGTTTAGAGCAGAATGCATAGCAATAAACGTACTATAAGAGTTTTAAAGTTCTTTGATGAGCAGATTTCCCTAAGTAAATATAATTCTTTCGAAATAAAAATATATATTGTAAAATGCCATTCTCCCAAAGAACAGAATAACACTCAGAAACAATATTTCATGTTGATTTTTTTATTAATTTTAATCTATATTTCAAATATGCAGAGACTTCAAAAGTTAATTTATAATTTTATTTTTTCCCTTAACAGAAATTTTTTTTCTTCTTACATTACAGCATAAAACATATTAATGTTTACCTTATCTCATCAGCTACTCTGATACTGGCTCCATCTGGAATAATTAATCCTAAATGAGCTCTTAAACGACAGTTTGTTGGCCCAGTATGAGCCCATACATGAGTTGAAGGATGCATAATAGAAAATTTTGCCTATAAATAAAAAATCAAATTGGTATGTTATTAAGCATGCTAATAGCAAGAAGGTAAGAAATGAGGCATTTTGCTTCTTAATTCACAGTTAATAAGCCAAAATTATCAAAATTAAAAGATATATAATAGAATAAAATGAACTAAAAAATATNAAAATTTGACAGAAAAGTGTGATTTTTAAACTTGTTAACCATGTGATTATAAATCCCGATGATTAATTTTAAAATTGTAAGTAAGAATATGAATCACATGCATGATTTTAAATTGAGAGAATATGAATCCCGATATGAGGCTTTTAAATCACGTGAATATGAAACTCTATATAGAATTTAAAAAATGCGAAAATACAAATCATGTTGCGTAATTTTTAGATCACGTAAATACGAATCACGATGTAAAATTTTTAAATCACACGAATACGAATCCCAATGTCTAATTTTCAAAGCATGTGTAAATACGAAAATCGATGTTTGATATTACAAGATATAGCTAAAATAGGGGAAATAGCTAAGGAGAAAATAGCTAAACTAAGTAAAAATGCGGAAGGGTTAGCAGCTAGGACATAGTTTGAATTTTCTGTCAATCTTCGAAAATCGTAAATAAATATAATTATTTTATTGCAACGACTGAATTTTCAAAAAAAAAAAAAAAACGGGATATTTATAAAAGAAAAAACTGAAACTTTTAGAGAATCAGAGTTTTTGATAAAAAAAAACTGAAATTCGAGAGAGAAAAGCGAAAAAATCTCATCCCTGTATAAAGGTCAACCAGTTTTATCCCAAGGAAATGATTTTTAGAGAAACTTCAGAGGGAGGAATGAGGACTTCAATACTTTCACTCGGCGGAAAATTAAATTCCTCACGAAATATTTTAACTTGTGCAAAGAAAAATTTCAGCGTAAACTAGCGGGGAAAATGGAAAAATAAGCAGAAATCCGTGGAAGAATCACGTCCCTGCATTTTGCTTCTTAATTCACACTGAATAAGCCAAAATTATCAAAAATTAAAGATATACAATAGAATAAAATTAACTAAAAAATATTTATTCAAGTGTTTCCATTTATTGTTTCTTTTTTTATTTACACAGTAATAAATTATGTGATTTGCTTATGATTTAACTTCATGCATTAACTTCATTAAAGATCAATTTAAACTTGCAAAAAAAGTTTTAATACAAAATAAATTAAGCAAATTTAAACTTTAAAAGCTCGAACGTACCTGTCCACGCTTACAATTTGCAGCATCCGGCATCTGTGATATTAAAGAACAAGTTTTTGGAGCTTTGGCACAATTTTTTGCTATTTTCCTTCCTAAAAAAAAATATCATGAAATTGGAGAATTTGTTCATATATCATTGCAATTTATATGTAAAAAAATTACCTTACAGATATTAGGCACATACATATTACAACTGCTTCTTTTAAATTCAGACTTTTATAATTGAAAATGTGAGATACAGTGTAACGTCCCATATCCGGACGTCCCTTTTCCGGAAGGGTCAATTTCCCGGACACTTTTTGACAATCAAAATAAACAAACATTTCTTCATCTTCCCCACTCTCTTAAAAAAAAAAAAACAAGTATTTTGACAGGTTTTTTCCTTTCTTAGCTTCTAGTCATCTATGCATTAGACCCATAAATCAACAGAAAAGAGAACAGAAGATCTACCAAGACCGTACCGTTAGTAACGCTCCTCCTCTGGAAAGCAGGGAGGGGGGGGGGAGATTTGCTTTCAAAAGAGCACAATTGAGTCCCCTCCCCCCTTCTTTCCTGTGCAGCTGGCTAGTNAAAAATATCATGAAATTGGAGAATTTGTTCATATATCATTGCAATTTATATGTAAAAAAATTACCTTACAGATATTAGGCACACACATAATACAATAGTTTCTTTTAAATTCAGACTTGGATAATTGAAAATGTGAGATAATTCGATTTTTATAATATTAATTCCTTCACAATTTCAGATTAACCCCAATATTGACATTCAAGATTATTGTATTCAAAAATTTATTATACATATATAGAAAGAAATTTTCAGAATTAAAAAGGAGAAATGCAAATTTTATATTATAGGAAAAATGAAAGAATATGACTTTCAATCAAAAATAATAGGGCTTCCTAAATTATTGATATGAAGAGGCTGTTCTGATTTTCTTCAAATTCAGAATTATCCAATTGAAATTAAATAGCAATGTTTATACCAGTTTATTAAAAGAATATTTTGTCCAGTGTATTAAATTTCTTCTTTTTGGAGGGAGCATAAAAATATCTTTGAGTAACTTTATTTCTGTCCAAAAATGTTTCAATTTTCATGATTAGTTCCAGTGATAAAGTAAAAATAGTATTTAGGGTTCAAAAATTTTGACAGTTCTTTGGATTGTTTTGAAAATATTTATATACTGTACTTGAAAAGAGCAAAAAATTAATAAGATATTCTTTTTTTGAACAGTAGCTATAAATTACTATTATACTTTCTTAATGATGCACATTTTTTTTTTCACTGCACAAATAAAATATGAATCTATCTTTCATTCACAAATTGAAAAATAAAACGCCTAAAAAATACCACCAAATTCTATATCCAAAATACATCAAATTTCTATATCAAAATCAAATTCTATATCAAAAATACCACCAGGTTTCAAGGTCTTTTTACAGTTAAAAAGCATATATTAAGGAAGATTGCTGACTATGTAACAGGATATTTAATTTTCATAGATATTATACCTCGTGCAAATAATTCAAACTGTTTCCAATCCCCAGTATCTTGCAAACCTTCAGATTCTGCCATAAAACCAGAATTGTTTTCATTCATTAAAGCTACTGCTTCATCTCTGATTAGTGACCAATCTCTCTCAAGAATCTAATAATCAAAAATAATGCAATTGTTTAAAAAAAAAATAATTAAAAAAAAGGTTCAGTTACAAAGTAATTTTTTTAAACAATACATTTTTGAAAAGATAAATAAGGAAATTTTAGATCAAAATTTACTACCAGTATTTATATATTTATATAATATTAAAAAAAAATAATTAAGATATTTTTTGGCAATGACATGAAAAGAAAGATTGCATTGAAATAAAAAGAAGTATTATACTTGTATAATGCAAGAGGTACTTTATTCACATACACATTGTATTATATGTAAGAATTTATATCAATAAGATTTATTGAACAAAACTTATACATTTATCATCTAGACATCAAATATCAAATAAAATTTTTGAGAAAAAGTACTATCTATAACAGTTTTTTATAATGTAATTATTAAAATTATAGAAAATGAAAAAAGAATATTTTAAGTTAGAAAAAGATATCAAAGAGAGAGTATGTCAAAAAGTTCATTTACTTTAAAATAAGGAGCATAAGAAGAACTTTTTGGATCCCACCACGGTTTTCCTGTTAAACCATTCACATTATATAATGATCGTTGATAACGGGATAAAAATAGACCTTCCTTCACAGCTTCATCATACACTTTTAAAGCCTAAAAATAGAAAAACAAATAATTTAACAATTAAAATTTAAATTACTAAAAAAATGTTTAAATTCATTCAATAAATAAAGACCTAAAACTTCGTATAAAAGCAGGGGTCTGTCCAGACATTTTGTGAAAGGTCCGTTTTTGTAAAATTGTGAAAAAAGTACTGGTAATTTGTGAATATAAAATAAGCGTTAAGTCACATTCTTTCACCCAGGGTCCTGCTTTTGTGAATTTGTGCAAATAGGGTCCTGTTATTGCAAAACACTTTTCCAAGAAGTTTTTAAATTGTAAAGACATACAAGATTATGCTCAACACAGTAAAGTTATAATTAAAAAAACTAAATTTCAAAAAATAAACAGCAATTGCTGCTACTAAATTAGAAATGCAACATGCAAATATTTGGTATTTAGCCTATACTGCTGAACGCAGTATAGGCAGTATAATGCAGAATATTCATTTCAGACGAATAAAGGAAGAAGCGTTTGACGAAGACAAAACTTAGTTCGTTTACATTTGTCGTCTCCCCCCCCCCTTCCTGGGAAGGGTTTATTCGATTAACAAAACAATAATGAAGATAAACAAATTTGTGAAGGGATCGATTAAAGAGAAACTATTTTGTGAAGGGTCCGTTTTTATGAAAAGATATTTTATGAAAAGATATTTTATGAAAAGATATTTTGTGAAAGATTTGTTAACAGACCCAAATTTCTTCTAAACAGACCCCTGGTTAATAAATGTTTTTCTAAAATAACTATGAAGATGATTCAACTAACTGATTTTTAATCACTCTTTGAGCTTTGTTTCTTGCCATTTCTGTCAATGGACAAAAGAAATTAAGCGACATTATCTTAAATAATAAAGAAGATCTATATATATTTGGCTATCCCCAAAAAACAGTTAATAAAGAAAAAACATATGTATATACATAACCTCATTGTTTCTGTCAATTCTATGTAACGCATCTCCAAGATGAAAGTAAAATCTGCCATCAAGAACACCACTTTCTCTAGAGGCTATGCCTTCACTCAACAATTTAATGGATTCTTCATATTTCGATTCATCAGTTTTCAAGATGAAACCAAGATGAACTTTTGCAAAACCAGAGTCAGGAAATACTTTTAAAATCTGTAAATTGTTATAAAAAATATATTGCTTTTAAACTAAGAATTACCTACTCAGCTTAAATTTAATAAATAAATGCTTACATCTTGAAATTCTTTTTTAGCAGCTTTATTTTGGCCAATTAATAAATAACCCACAGCAAGTAGATTTCTCACTTCAATATTCTGAGGATATTTCGTAAGCATAGTAGACAAAAGCTTTACTGACTTGCCCATAAATCCTAGAAAATAATTGCACAATAACCAATTTCTAAAATACCATTAAGTAATCATGAGTTATCTGCAGATAAAAACTAGACTAATAATTTTAATTAAGCAAAGGCCAATAACTAGACTAATAAAAAGAAATTATGCTTAAAATTTAAATTAGGCTAAATAAATTATTAGTCTTTTGATGATGAAATAACTAATAACTCATTCTAGAGATGAATCAATTACCTCTTCCACAAAAACAGATCATAAATTTATCTTTAAAAAACTGATGCATAGTTTCTAATTCCAAAGGGTTATAATTCATTCTAAACTACCTAAAGAACCTACGGTAAAAAATAGACCAATAATTCTTTCCTAAAAATAGACCAATAATCACTTCAAAAAATAAATTTATAAATAAATAAAATAATAATAATTATAAGAAGACCATCAGTTTATTTAAAAATACTGATAAAACATTTCTAAATCAAAATACTAATAATTTTTAAAAACAAAGATTACTTTAATTATTTTATTTACCCCATTATTTTATAAATACAGTACAGAACCAGTTATCCGGAAATCAGAAAACCGGAAAACCAACAAACCGGAACGAAATTCGATAAATTTCCCTGCCCTTTTCTTTAAAAAATGTTTTTTTCCTCATAAGATTTTCGGATTTTTCTTTCTTTATTGAAAGATGTTTACCTTACCATCATTTTGGAAATAATCATTAGTGTATTACTTCATCGGTTTTTCTTTTTTTTAAAGATTATTTCCAAATATATTTTTTTAGTTGGGTTTAACAACAAAAAAAACGGCTTTTTGTAACGATTCAGAAAAGCAGAAAAATCAGTCATCCGTAATAGCGATGGTCCCGATCGTTCCGGATAATCGGTTCCCTACTGTAGTAATAAAAAAAATAAATTTTTTAACATATTTACCTCTGAAGCGCATCTTTTCAGCAGTTAATTTCCCAGCAATTAAATACAGCCCCTCAGGGACATTTTTCAAATCCAGAACTTTCTGATAACCGAGTATTGCATCTTCCAGCAATTTATTACTGCGCTGTGATTCTGCAATCTTATCTAATGCTTGAGCTTTCAGAAAATGGAGTCTTGGGCTTTCCTTGTGTAACTTCAGAAGCTCGTTACATCTCTTCAAAACATTTTCAGCAGACTTGGAGTAGGGAATAACAACAGCATATCAAAAAGGCAAGCAGTCTACCAAAATGTTATGCATCATAAGTTATAATGCATGCAAGTATAATGCAACTAAAGTCTATAATTTTGCCCAATGTCTCTTGAAAATTCATAACACGAAGAAAAAAAATATTATTGATATTTGTTGAATACTCATAAATATGCATTTCAATAAAAATTTATCTAATAATGAGAAAATATATAATAGTTTCAGGATACCATTAGTTTTGAATAACAAACTTTTAGAAATTAAAACGCATGGTGATTTATTTAAAATATCAAATTAAATGAAGAAGTTGAAATAAAAATATATTGAAAGTAAGTGAATAATAAACCTAAATATGTTGGTAATATAGTTATAAGACAAATTTTCAAGAGACACAAAGCAAACATTAGTAAGGAGTTAGTTAATTTTTGCAGGCTAAATATGCATTTTTCTTCACAAGCTCTACAAAGTTTAAAATATTAAAAAAAAAAAAAACATTGTAAATATAATTATAAATGAATTAAACTTTGAACAAACTTGTTAATCTCATTTTAAACAAACAGCTCACCACATTTAGCGTAGGTTTTACATTAAAAAAAAAAACACACATAAGCATGGCAGAAAGGAAATGTAACTCCCGTAAAATAGTTACCCTGTAAACCAAAACTTCCATAAAAGTAAAAAACTTCATATGAAAATCAAAAACGACTAATCTTAATGAATAAGTCAACAGTGAAAGTGTGACTGACCTAAGAAATATTAAATTAATTTAACTTGAAGATTTGCATGGGAAACAGTCTGATATATTAAGCAAATGCACAGGAAGGTTTAAAACCTGAAATCAATAAAAAAAATCACATTGGGATATAAAACTAAATAATTTTGCTTAATCATCACGGCTTAAGACGAAGTAGTAAGAATATATATTTGTTCTAAAAATCTATCAATTGCATCATCAATGAAATTCATAATTCAAAAAAGTTGTGATTTTTGATTATTTAAATAAGGCAGCTGTTTTATTTTCGCAAAAATTATACACTGAAAAAAAGGAATTAAGAATGCCAAAAGCTATACTATTTGTTGAATTTGTAGTAGACGAACTTTTAACACTTAAAGGTAAATCAATGACTAGATATATTGAACTAGTATAAAAATGATGAATTATTTGCAGTAAATGATAAAAATTTGATGATTCAAAACATTTGATATTTTAAGAAACTTCATAATACTTGACTGTAAGACTAGACATTTTTCTCTAACTCTAAAATGTTTATTTACAAATTAATGAATACAAAACTTTCCACAAAAAATATTTTTCGTTGCTCTTCATTTCAATATTTAAGAGATAAATCACATGCTTAATGTGTTCATGCTTTTTATCTTGTTATAAATCTACAAAAAAATTAGGGGCTTTTTTTAGACATACAGTTTTATATACAAAGATTAGCAATATCACAATATAAATTTGTTAGCTAAGGGAAGGGATTAGAATTGCCAAAAATCAAATTCATCTTCAGTCTCGTCATTATCATAATCTTCATCATCCTCTTCCTCATCATTATCAGAAAAATTCTGCAAATATATTTGGGAATAAAAGAGATAGAAATGCATTTTAAAGAATTTTTAAAAAAATGAGGCTTTGACAAATGGGGGAAGAAAAAGAAAACTACGCAACTACAAGGGAAAAAAAAGATTTATATGAAGCAATGTTGCAAAATTAACTTGCATAATAACTTACAGCTTCATTAAATTATTCAAGAGTTTAGTTTTATGCCCTATTTCAATTTAACTAGAAAAATAGTGCAATTTTATACAACTGTTTGACGACTTTTATCCATTGAAAATGGTATTTAATAGTTTAAAAGAAGGTACATAATAGTTTAAACGCAGGAAACCTACACAAACACAGGCTTTAAGACAAAATTATACTAAAATTTTCAAAAATTTATTAATTTTTAATAATTAAAAGTCTTAAAAAATTGTTACAATGAATGGAATTACTCTTAAAAATAAAACACATTTATAAGNTCTCTGAGATAAAAAAAAAAAAAAAAAAAAAAAACTGCCCAAACAGTCTCAAGTCTGAAGACGTATAGTTGCATATACACACACATATTGAAAATTTCCAATTCGGGGCAAAATTATACTAAAATTAATTACTTTAGAAAAATTTGAATCATTTCAGTATAAATACATTAATTCAAAATGAAAACTTAAGAGATATGGTATAAAATTTTAGTTACTACAAATTACCAGAAATTGTTTCTGTGCAGAAATAAAATAAAATATGCTCAATCAATTCTTAAAAAAATAACCTAATTTTCATTGCACATTAAACATGAGATTAAAAAATAATTAATTATGCTTCATTCTTGAAAATACAATATCACAAAAGGGCAATTAATAACTTAAGAAGCCTAAGTTAGTAAAGAGCAAGAGAAACTAGTTAGAAGTTGTAAATAATTTTGATAAATTTGTATATTATATTAATTCACTTAATATTTTGTATTACAGTAGAGTCTCAATTAGAAATAATTGGAACTAAATCTCATTTTACTTTACTTTCTGTCTTGATAATAAAGAACAGTCCTTCAAAATGCATAACTTTTCACTTTTATTAAAGAAAAATAGAAAAAGTGTACTTATGAAGCTAAATAAATATTATTCATAGTTTGAGAATTTTAAAAGATAAAAAATTTTAATGAAAAAAACCTATAACAGAATCAGACATAAATGCATAACCTACTTTATCCAACTTTTTATCTAAGGCATCTAGTTCCTCTCTTATTTCATAATCCATTTCATTCGTAATTGATATTTTTTCATATGCCAATTTATCCTCCTCTTCATATTCTAAACTATCTGGTGTGATACCTGTTAATTCGTCACCATAATCCTCTAAAGTACTTGGTGACAAATTATCTTCCGGAACAGAAAATTCTTCTGGATATTCCTCAGTCCTAGTTTCTTGAATAATTTCAGACGATGCACGAGATGTTCGTTCCGGAATTTCTTTTGTAGTCGTCTCAGGTACAGGTGTTATATCTTCTTCAAAATCATTAGTTGATGCATGCCCTGGAGAGCTGTAATCAGTCGTTTCAGGCATGGGGAGCTCGATTTCTTCATACAACAGTGGATCAAGCTCTTCGGCAGGGATTTCAGAAGAAAAAGATAAATCTGGGCTTTCTGAAGTAGAATCAGAATCTAAAGACAACAAAATTCTTAATTAACCAACAAATAAAAAAAAAATTAAAAGTCTGAAAGATTGTAAAATTTTTCAAGTCTAAAATAAATTATATTAATTAAAAGTATACTTTATTGCAAATACTTTAGTTCCACCATTTTACAAGCAAAACTCTAGCTTTCTGTATACCAAAAAACACATAGCACGTTTACTAATAATGCAAAACAAAAAAAATCTCAGAAACAGAATAACTAATGATGACAGATTTTCTGATTTGAGAGACAGGCATAAAATGTGTAATTAATAAGTGCAGATGATATTTAAAACTACAGACTGGTACACATAACCGCACTTTGTCTGGCAAAGCATATCCTTTTTTATGGATTCAGATCTTTTACCTTCAACTGAATTTGGGAGAAAGTGACAATTTGATCAGGAAAGAATACTCAAAACTTTGAGCACCTAATGGTAATTTTACTTTTTACGTAGCTTACTATTTCTTCAAAGCTATATTCCTATCAATGTGACGAGAAGATGATTTACCAGAAAGGGACAACCTTAGTTTTCAATTTAAAGAATGTTATAAAATATTTTAGCCATCAAAATAGTTTTATTGTGAATATAAAAATGCTAGTAGAAGTTTTACAAAAAATTATCCATTTCTAAAAAATATCTAAATTAAAAATTTCTCACCAAATATTTCCTCATTGTGGTCTGCATTCATTTCAATTCCCTCACTGGATTTTTCTGTGACATCCTGCAAAATAATGGACATGGTTTTAAAATTAAATTGCTTGCAATTTAAATAATTTGCATATAAAATAAATAAATGGAAATTGTTCAATCTTTTTCATAAGCAATAGTATGAAATTATAAAAGTAATAAAGATTATTAAGAAGTAAAACATTTCATCCAATTACATTAAAATTATGGAAATAAATATAAATTATAAAAATTTTAAGGCTTATGAACTGGCTAAAAAAATAATTTGGCTAACCAAGTGTTTGTGAGCTACAATTATCTCAAAGGCAAAAAAGGGTTATGATAAGGTAACTTGGGAGCTATTAACTACACATCAAAATTATTATACCATATTCATTGTATAATCATGTAAAGAAAAAATACATAATTCGATCATTCATTTGTTCACCCATACATTGCACAAACTCATTTATTAGATTTACATGTATTACACATTTTTAATAAAATCATTCTGCTCACATTTATTAAATCATTACTTCATTCCTTAACTCATTCATCTTATAATTACTCTTACAATTGTTAAAAAGTTAATAATACTGGAATAAGAACAAGAGCAACTATTCCATAGCACTCAGGTGCATATTCTTGACCACTAACAAATTGCAAACTTCTTATATATTAAAAATAAATTCCACGACTTGGAGAAATGAGATTTTACAATGTATGCAATGTACCCTGTGGCAGAATTTTTTCGAACTATCTGCAACAAAACTCTGAAGAACTAATATCTTTCTGCAAGATACTTTTAATAATAACAAACATATGAGTTATTAATTTAAAATAACAAAGGCGAAGTTTACAAAGAAAAAAAACTTTAACATATTTTTTTAATTGAACATGTAATATTTTTTTTAAATTCTAATATTATGGGTGATGTTCTTGCATTTTTTTTGGGGGGAGAACGCACAGATTATTTTCTTCCTCGCATTTTGTAAATGAAGGTCACAATAAAAAAAATTAAAATTCATGAAATTCGTAGTAGTAATTGCCGAAAAAAAAGATCGGCGATGAATTCACACAAATCGGACTCCTCAAATGCGTGTTTCGTTTCGAAATTGGGTTGTTGTAATAAATAAAATCGTATTTCAAAACTATGGAGAAATCAATAGCAATAAACACCAAAAATTAGATAGAATTATTGCTTTAAAATGTAAATACTCAAATGCACAATTTGAATTTTCCATATAGTTTGAAATATATCGAGATATTTATAAACCACATCAAAATCAATAACTGCCAAAAATACAATCCAAACAAGACACCGATTTACGATACTATCAGCGTAAATTGAGAGCGTCAAAAAGTGGTTATCTTAAGGCATGATTCAAATATTACGTGTAAATTTCTACAGAAAAGAAAAGTAAAATTGTTTGCCTTTTTCAAAAGAAAAATCTTTCCACAAAAACTCCAACGTTCTGCGACAATGTTCCTGTGTCGCTACGATTCTGCCACGGGGGCAATGTATAACTAATTAGGATGTAGGAAGTAAAAACTACAATTTGTTTGCGGTCAAGAATGCATGCCTGAACACACATCAAAAATAAAAGAATTGGTGGCTCTCAGCTTACAAAAGATTGCATCAGTTTTTATTCTTAATTTTTAACGCAAGCAAAAGATTCCTTACTTCAGAGTTTGTATCCAACTTTTCACTGTCTGGAAACTCTGTATTTTCTCTAAATTCCTTAGTATTTTCATTATTGAAAGATAACATTTCTCCAATATCAGGCAACATATCCATAATGTTCCCTGAAAAAAATATAATTATTAATTTTTAAGAAAGCATCTAAAAAAATTAAGAGCAGAAAACTTGAAAAATAAAAATAATAAGTGTTATCTTTAACTTCTGTAGGTATTTTATATGAAAGAAAAGAAAGCATACCTGATAGAAAATCAGATGAGCTCCATTTTTCCTCTTCCTCATGAGAATCGTGAACTTCCATCCCGTCTGAATGATCTGGAATAGAGCTGTCATTTTCTACTTGGTCCAAATTATGTAATGGTTCATGTTCCTCAGAGTGATGATCATCAAATAAATCCACTGAACCTCCTATAATGAAATAACGGAAAGTAAACATTAAATAAAATCAGTACAAGATAATACAAAACTTATAAGTTCAAAATAAAATAATTTTACTGAATTTATTGGTAATATTATTTATTGGTTTTATTAGGTACATTCCTTTACCCAACAAAAAAAAGGGTAATACTTTGTACTATGTAGAGACTAAAGCGAAAAGAAAAAAAAAGGCCAAATAAAGCCCAAATCAAAGTAAATGAATTGACATACTTATTATAGTTCTCTAAACAAAAATCTTCCTCGGTGTCTAAATGTTAAATAAAGGTAGAGAAGTAAAAACACAAACACCTGTAGAGTTGCTTAAGGAAATGGGATAAAGGAAAAAGTTTGAGCAAAGAAATAACAATGGGGAGATAAGAAACAGGTGTGAGGGGATCCAAAATTATTCATGGTGGTTAATTTTTTTTTTTCCGCACTGTACATACACTTGGTTTTATATTATATTTCGTGAGTATAAAAAATTATGCGAACATTAAGGGGTTAAGAAACATATATAGAGTATATTCATATTAATTTAAATGGCAATAACACATAGGGAAAAATTAATCTCAGTTTTTTTTTTTTTTTTTTTNTTTCTTTTTTTTTTTTTTTTTTTTTGCCACAATCCTATTTTTATAAATTTGTGGGGAAAAAATTTCATCAAAATCTGCCTTACTTCTATAATATAAATTTATATTTTTCAAAACCACATCCCTATAAGAACTACATAAACATTTAAACACTTAATATAAAAAACAAACTAATCTATTTATTGTTGGTAGTTGAAAAAATAACATTTAAATGCATTTTTGTAATTAATTTGAAAAAGAATTACTCAGGGTTCCCACTCAATTTTCAAAAAAGAATTCAAGGACTTTTCGATGACTTTCAAGGACCTAAAATCAAATTATTCATGGATCCATTCAGTATTACAGTTAAGATAAAGTACATATCAACCAAATTTTACAATGTCCTCGAAGCAGAAATTGCACATTCTCAAAACACAATGCGTATTTAACAAAAAAAATTTTTTTTTTAATTTATCAGCTACTAATCCAAATGGTTGATAGTTATATTGCTGCTTCAAATCACATTAAAAAATCCCAATTGACATAAATTGACAACAAAAAAAACCCAACTAAAAACCCAACTCCAATTGACATAGGATACTAGTTAAAAATTTGCATCAGTGAAATTTTTTATGAAAAATTTAATGAAGTAAATTAAAATTAATGAAAAATAATATTACATTAAACAAGCATAATAAATAATTGATAAAGTAATTACACAGCTATTAAAATTTTTTTAATATGTTAAATCAAATTTTAGGATACAGAAAATGTATATAAATAGATAAAATATCAAAATATATCCACAGTGTTTTCACTACAGCGCGAGAACGCGAAAATCTCGCATATTTTTTTCTTTTCTCGCATTAAAAAATNCTACATAAACATTTAAATACTGAATATAAAAAACAAACTAATCTATTTATTGTTGGTAGTTGAAAAAATAACATTTAAATGCATTTTTGTAATTAATTTGAAAAAGAATTACTCAGGGTTCCCACTCAATTTTCAAAAAAGAATTCAAGGACTTTTCGATGACTTTCAAGGACCTAAAATCAAATTATTCATGGATCCATTCAGTATTACAGTTAAGGTAAAGTACATATCAACCAAATTTTACAATGTCCTCTAAGCAGAAATTGCACATTCTCAAAGCACAATGCGTATTTAACAACAACAAAAAAATTTTAATTTATCAACTACTAATCCAAATGGTTGATAGTTATATTGCTGCTTCAAATCACATTAAAAAACCCCAATTGGCATAAATTGACAAAAAANACTTTAAAAAATTCCAATTGACTCGAAAAAAAAAAACTCCAATTGACATAGGATACTAGTTAAAAATTAGCATAAGTGAAATTTTTTATGAAAAATTTAANTTCCATATGATGATGCAGCAAAAATATTCAATGCTTTAAAAATTAGAAGATATTAAAAATGTATTATAATTAAAGAAATGATTTTTTTCATGTCTCTTTGTATTTTTGTTTTTTAATTTTTAGAAATCTCACTTAACTTTTTGAAATCTCACCCTGTTTTTGAGAAAGGGTGAGAAATTCTCACCCATTTTTTTTCTGCGATGAAAACACTGATCCATTTAGCATACGTGTTTCAATTTTAATAACACATTATTGATTTTGTTACTTCAGAGTATCAGTAATGTATTTGGGGAACAATAAAATATATTGTAGAACAATATTTTATAGATAACTAATTAAAACTTACCAAGCTTTATTTTCTTTAAAATAGATCCATAAAATGCGAAGCGCAATTTCAAAAATTGTGTGAACATGCATTATTTTTAAAAAATCGCATTTATACGAATCTAGATTTACTATACGTAAATCAAAATTATAAGAAAGGTGAAGTAAGTCTCTGAAGATTGCATTAATCACGTATCACAATGTGCGATCTGTAAATCGAAATTGAATGCTGTGTATGTTTCTCAAATTGGCACAATATGATTAGCAAATGATATAAAACGCAAGAACTAACAGAATGTAAATCACAATATTGGATACATAAATCCCTTTAATGTGAATTCTGATGTGTGATTAGCTAATAATTTTCATGTGAAAAGTGATCATTATGTGGCAAATTGTAATTTGTGACTCGAAAGGAGCTTAATTTAGAACAGCTATGTGTGATTCATAAATCATTTTGATGAAAACTGTGAGTGGTAATTCTTAAATCTCTCATGTGAATCGTGATGTGTAATTCTTAAATCCTTCTAATACCATTCCAAATGCGCGATTTGTAAACTACTTGAATGAGTATTGTGATGCATGATTCTGAAATTACTTAAATATGTATCATATCATATGATTCAGAAATAACTTTAATTGAAATCATGTGTGACTGATAAATCACACGTGTGATTTATAAAATATTTTAATACGAATCCCAATGAGTAATTTGCAAATTACTTTAAAGCATCACTTGATATGTGATTCATTAATCACTTTCATTTGAATCGCAATAGTAAAAGATTTTACATGAATTCTGATCCATAAATCAAGAATCAGTTTAATGTTTATCACGATGTTTACTCATAATCCATGAAATCTAGAACTTAATTTTATTTATTAGCTGTAAAAACTAAATGTAAAAATCTGATTATAAATGATAATAAACTAATGACACTTCTAATAAAAATTAAAATAACAAATAGGATAACAATATTAGCCTGTCATAATAATGAAGTCAACACATTGAACATATTTCTAAATTGACGAAACACTATATATCATTCGGAAACTATGACTACAAAAACTAAAATTTGAGAGAAATTTCAGCTTTCTAAATATCAGAGATGAACAATAATCTGGTGCGAAAAATCTAGGAGAGAAAAATTTTGCATCTTCTTTAACCCCTTTTCACTTCAAGCATTAAAAATTGCATCGATCAGAATTTCTATAATTTTTGCTCGAATTTATTTATTATTTTTTACTGCTTTTTGTAACAAAGATCAGTATTATTTTAATCCCAAAGAAATCAAGTACTTTTCAAGTACCCTATAGCAAAATTCAAGGACTTTTCAGGACCATGATTTTTTTCATCAAAATTCAAGGACTTTCAAGGTTTTTCAAGTACTGTGGGAACGCTGTTTTCATGAATATGAAAATTAAGTTGTGAGAATGCAAGTACTTATCATGAATTATAAAAAATGAATTTTGCAAAAGAATCATTTTCAATATTTTAAATTTTTCATAAGGTGTATTTAGTAATTTTAAAAATTCTTTTTTGACTTGGGATTTATGCAAAGTGGGCTTTCTTGAGTTTTGAATTTTATTGAACGGACTTAAAAAGGGCTGACTTTTTGTAGATTGATCCCTATTTCTATTATTGGTGCGAAATTAATGATCAATTCAAAATCTGTAAAAGTCGCCCGGTGGCTGAGCGGTAGCGCTTTGCGCTATCGTGCCACAGGTCTCTATTCGATCCTCGGGCCGAGCAAGGTTGACTCAGCCTTTCATCCCTTCAGTGGGTCGATAATTGAGTACCAAGCATGCTTGGGAAGTAAACACTGGGGGTTTCACGTTTAGATGACCACCTGACCGGAACATCTGCTCCTGCACCCCAGAGCCCAAGGTCAAAAAAACTGAGATGGGCACAGTAGGCCTGGCCCTCTATGGGCTGTCGCGCCACTGAGTTTAGTTTAGTTTTCAACTAAAGATTTTAGTAAAACTAAAATCGTTATCACACAAATAAAATAACATAAAATCTTATGTATAGTTAGAAAGCATACTTACTCTCAGTTCCATGCAAAGAAATGAATATAAAACTCATTGACAAAACTAGACCAGAAAACAAAAGAACAAAGACTATTTTGGCGAAACCACTTGGTTGATGTGCAGTTACTATAATCTCTTCCTCAACTTCTTGATCAGAATCTTTACTTTCTGACCGAGTGCTCATAAAAATTTGGTCCTCTGAATGCATATCATCTGAAAAATGAACTAAGCACAATTATCAGATAATCCATACAACAATGAATAAATGAAAAATTGTAAAAAAGTTAATAAATCATAAGAAAGTAAAAATATTGAGGACATCTTGAACTTTTACAGGTATTAACTCAAGTCCCAGGTCTGTCAGTTATTTTTCACTAATGAGAATTAAAATCTCAAAAGAAAAACAGGTAAGTATCATTTATTTTAAAAACACTTTCATTTTCCATACTTAAGTAACAATGCAGAAATATATACGATAAATCTTTAAATCAGAAATGGTTTTTCCATAGTAAAAAATACTTTATTAATAGCTAGCTATAATAGCTTTTTATAAGCTAAAGGGTTCCGTAGGAATGCAAGGTTTCCATTAAAATTTCTCAAAAAACAATTATTTTTTGTAAGAATAACACGAAAAGCACAAATTAACTGATAGTTTTTATACATACCTATCATTTTTGTTAAGAAAATTTTCACATGCTTAACTTACTGCTGAAATCGAAAATTATTACAAAAATTCCAACTTAAATAAAATTGCTAATTGTAACTTATAATTATAAAATGATTAGAAAAAAAGCTAAGGCTGTGTTTTTTTTTCTATATTGTTAGAATGTAAAATCCAAACTAAATATTTTACATAATATTTACAATAGCCCATTTACTAGTATGAATAAATTTACTAAGTAAATGACATATACTTAAGTATTAGAAATTATCTCATAAACAGAAATAATAATTAAAAAAAAGTCAGCTAGTGCAAACATTTTTCATACAAATTAATTAGCAGTTTAAAAATGAGTTTGCTTAAGAAAGTGCTTAATAATGTCATCCTAACTATTACTAATAATCAAGGCTATATTGTAACAATAGGATTTAAGATTTACTTTGCGTTTGTTGGTATGACAATCAGTTACAAGAGCAATCATTATTTTTGCTTTTCAAGCTTTGAGTTCCTTCATTTTCACAATAGTACTTAAGAAAGAAAAATTTTACTTTTCCATACTATGTTTATGAAAATAAATATTCCATTTATACTAAAAAAATAAAAAACAGGAAAAAAAGAAAACGCCCTTAAAATTAAAGCAAGAAATAAACTCAGCTTAATTCAATATTGTAAGCAAATTTTGAAACAAAAATAGTGTTCAAATCAAGAGAATTCTATTTAAACAAGCATAAATTTAGCTGATAAAGCGTTTTTTTTTTTTTTTTCCCTCGGTAAGGTGATTGTTAAAATGCTTTATTAAAGAAAAAATGTGAATAAACACACATCAATAAATCTTAATCTTATACTCCTCACATCAAAGACTTTTTTTTACGACGTTAAAAAAAGTCTTTGATATACGTTACACTCAAGTAACTCAAATTGCCATATAGCGAGGAAGGAAAAAAAAAAAAAAACTTGGAATGATAAATTTGAAAGCAAATTAAAATCGCAATGCGGCTATTTACATAATAAAAAACAGTGGCGTAAATACACCCCCATAAACATCGCGGCCACGAGGGGGGGGGGCGAGCCCCAGAAAAATGACGCTATTAATTACAATAAAAATATTTTTTCATTTATAAAACTTCTTTAATTCATTTTACATATAATAATAACCTATAAATAACTAAACTTTAAATACAATTATTGTAAAATAGAGAGTTATTTTTATTTCAATCTATTGTAAGACGCTGAGCTCATAAATTTTAAAAAAAGCTAACGAAAATCCGTGAGAAATTCGCGTACATTTGAAGAAAAAATAACCGTTATATTCTTCTAAAAACACAAATGAGCGGTGTTTCATCACATCTGAAAAGCGGTTGACGAATCAGTTTTATATTTGTAATGATGCAATTTAATAATTGTGTAGATAGGTGCTGCAATATGCGTAATGTGTTGCGATTTACGAATTTACACAAATCAGTTCCAAGTACAATACACGATAATCAATTGCTAATAAATTGCGATAAAGTGAAAAATCGATCGCTCGAAAGCGCTTGCTTCGAAATTCATATAGGTTTGAACGCAGCAACCGTGATACGAAGTTTAAGGTCTTTATTTAATGAATGAATTTAAACATTTTTGTTAATAATTTAAATTGTCTACTAGGTTATACGAGTTCATCGAATATTTAGACTTTAAAATCCTTAAATGCATTTTTATCATACGAGCCAAAATGTATAATAAACAAAAGTAATTAAAAAAAATTCTAAACAGAACAAAAGAAGTTTCTGAATCCTTAATTTTTTTAGCGCGGACTTGTATTATTTAAATTTTTCACAAGGTGCGGATTTAATATCAAGTAATGACGCTGAACACGTTTAACGTATCTTCGAAACGCGAATAGTCCTATTATAAATTTTGAGAAAAACTTTCGACCAAGATTTCTTTAACAGTTACAAAGACTTAGATGAAGGGTATAACTTCCAGAAAACACAAAATTTCAATTAAAAAAAAACTTTGCTCAAGCAATTTATTGACTCTTGCAATTAGTTTCAACACTTTCGTCGTCACCTAATTTTGAGGAAATTTGTTAGAAATTCCCTGATTTTTTTTATATTGCTTATTGTAAATACCTGCATATATTTCTTTAAAATTAGCAGCTTTTTTTTTTTTTTTAAACATAAAACCTAGTTATTGGTTTACCTTCTATTTGGCTTTATTTGTACTGTATCTAAAATCTAAGTCGCTCCGAAACATTTCATTGCCATTATATTTGATAAATATTTCTACAAAAATCACTTTCCAATTCTGCTACACTTAAATAACCTTGCTTTTTTGCTCTACTGATTACAAAAAATAATAGTACAAAATATACAAAATAATAGTAATACAATATAAATAGTACAAAAAATAGGGCTGACTGAGGGGTAGAGTAGAGAAGAATATATCGACTGCAGAAAAGAATTTTTCTTTACTTATACTAAGTTTTCCACAAACGGCGTTTGTATATATTATACATATGTGAACTAACAAATATATAGGATTGTTTTTTCTTTCTTCCCAAGATGTAGCAAAAAGTATTGAATAGTTTATAACTGAGCAGCAGTTAGAGGGAAATTAAATTAATCTTCCACATAACAAATGGTCTTATTATAAATTTTACGAAACCAACTAACCAACATTCTTTTAAATTATTATATATGTATAGGACTATTTTTTTACCAAAGATAAAGTGAACATTGATGATTAGATTATAATTTATTTATTTTTTAAAAAAAAGTAGGTTTTGGGACGCGAGCGCTTCACTGCCCTGCAATATAAAATATTTAGCAGTTCAATTGGTAATATAAAAACATACCACCAAATAATATACCTTATTATATTTTACAAAAATTGAGAGTTTTGATAGTCAATGGCAATTTTTTATTTGCACGACGTGTATAAATGTCATAAAGACCGTAATAGAGGATTTGATTTGGTAAAACGTGCATTAAACATACATAAAATAATCATCAAGGGGAAATACAGAAACGTCCAGTCACGTGATTGGTAGTGATTCTTCAGGAAATTTTGTGTAACGATAAATCTATCCTACTTTTTTATCCCTTGCGACAAATCTGCTACAAAAATAGGAGAATTGTTTATCGTGCAACAATGGGAAGCCACGATCGAGAAAGAAAAATTATTAAAATAAAAAACCCTACTCGCAAAATCTTTTCACAAATTCAATAAATGTAAGAAAATTTTTCTACCAATTTAATTTTTCTTGTATTATGAATTACTGAAATAAGAAAATTGCAATTGTAAATATATTACTCTTGGGGAAACGCGCTCCATTTTCGCTATTTATCGAAGCCTTGTCGCCAAGGAAAATTAAAAAAGCCTTAGTTTAAGTGCCTTACACTTGAAGCAATGCGATGATTTTAAACTAATCTTGCCATGATGAATTTTTATGGACTTTAGAATAGACAAATAACTTAAATATTTTAAAAGTTATTAAACTTTCTTAAAAATTGCCAATTTGGCGACATTTTCCCACCCAGATGAAAGTTATCAAAATCACTACCTTATTTTCAATTTTTGTGCATTTTTATGAGCCCAAGTAAGGCAGCAGTGGAGTAAGATTTTAGATATTAAAAAATTAGACCACAAACGCTTCTCATTTTCACAAAACATATTGACGTTTTGCGCCATTTTCAAAATAAGAGTAGACAGCGCTGGTTTTAGATAGGCTAAACTTGACCCAACAGTCATGAATTGCAAACTTACAGCAGTTATAAAAATAACATATTATTCGCAATAAAGCATCATTTCATAATACGACGGAGCCTCCGAAAAACAGCCTTAAGAATACAAGCTGTAAGGGGTCTCGCTGCTGTACGGTGTCTTGGTACTAAAATTTCATAAATGAAATAATTATTATAGTTGTATGGAAAAAGGGTAAATGAATTAAGTAAGCCTTTAAGCATAAAATGGAACTCTATTTTAAGAACTTGGATCAGTTTTGTTTTTTAATCTTGGTTGTCTGCCAAATTGAAGATGCCTGCAAGAATAAACTATCTCCTTTAATTAAAAAAAAGAAAAATGTGTTTCGTGCTCCCGAAGAAATTTGAAAAGCTTAAGATTTTTCTGGTTCTTTTTCTTTTTTCTTTCCTTACATGATAGACGCGTTACTGCCAATACATAAATTTAAATATAAAATAATTTTATCGAAGACTAAAAGTAAAGACGCATTTTCTATTATTTAAAATCACAGATAATTTCTTTAAAAAAAGAAAGAAAGAAAAGGACGATAAACGAGAAAAATTTGCAGTGGGAATCTACTTCGGCTAGAAAATTCGATTGCTGTTAAAAAAAATAAATTCACATATTTACTGAAAAAAATGCATTATGTATACCAATTTCCGGAGTACGGTCAAATTTCCTTAAAAAAAAAAAAAAAAAATCAGGAGTGAAATACGACACGAATTAAAAGAAAAATACTGATTCCGAATATTTACAAGAGAGGACTTCGCGAATATTCAGAAGGGAAAAGTAACATATGAACAAGCGCAAATTTTAGTCCCAAAAAAAAAAAAATTTG